AGAGAAAAGTTCAGTTGTTTGTCATGGCTGGGTAACTGTCTGGTGGCATTATAATATTTTTAAAATAACCTCCAATTGTTGCCCTTTAATTTAATTTTTCTAATTTTATTAGGGGGGGGTTTACTTTAGCCTATAACAACAGACCTAAACCGACACCTAAATAACTCATTTTTAAGAGGCTAACAAAGGCAAAGTGGCTAAAACTAAAGCTATCCACAGCTCAGGGCAAACCACAGCCATGGTTTGAGCAAAGGATCTCAGACTTTAGGAAGAAAATTATAGAGATGAGTGAAAAGCAGAAAAGGGTCCAATGTCCTGTTATCTGGTGAATTTATAAACATTAAAGAAACAGAAAAAAAATGTGGTGATGGTGATGTTGACGTGTTGACTTTGGGTGGTGGTAACGTGAGAAATTTGTATGAGATTAAACTGACCTCAAACAGCAAAGGCATTTTGTAATACACTCCCATGTCCTTTGGTTGGAGCTTACATCAGGACTGTGGCCCACAGCGTGTCTTTAAACTGTACACAAACTGTTCAGAGAAGAAACAGTTAACTGGTATTATGCCTGTAATAAAATTGCTAGCACTGACCTGTAGTTTGACGTTAGCTGAGCTGCTGTGGGAACAGCTCTATGCTATGGTACATTAGAACAGCCCATCCAACCAATCCAACTGGCTGGAGGCGCTGCAGGAAGTGTAGGAGAAACTTTCTCAGGGGTGAATTGACAGCTGGAATGCCAAAGGTCTGCAAGCCTGTAATTGCTCCAAATGAGCAATTTGGGGACACCAAAGCTTAAAGGAGAAAATCAGTCATAAACTTTGCTTTGTATTAACTATATTTTCTACTCAATTTGCAAGTCATTTGATGAATAAAACTACAGAAGACAAAGTTTACTTGGGGGAACAAAGAGTAGTGAAATGTTCCGGGTGACCCTTTTCTGTGTGTGGAGATTTCCACAAATACTCAAGTTGCGTTTTGATAGTTATGTGCTAAAACACTGCACGTATAATCGACGTGAGTAATGGTTTGCACATGGACTGCTACAATATTGAGAAATTGATGATGAACACATTCTCCTGCTTGCTGGATCTGGACTGTGAAATAAATCTAGTAGTCTTTGACCTGATGAGCCTTCCAGTTTTGAGGTCATCTTGATATGCGCACATCCAGGGCAAAACAGTCTAAATACTTATTTTTATTTGTAAAAAAATCATACAGAATGATTTCAGACTCAAAAAAACCAAACTTCAGTGATTTTAACTCCCACCCAAAGTCTTGCCTTGAGCCATCTCGAGCTGTGCCAGTGCTTTTCAGTGAGCGCTAGCCAACAAGGAGGGTTTTTTTTTTCTTTCTTTCTGCTGTGTCAAGTGCTGCCATGCTCTTTAAGAAGACCAGATCAGAAATTCTTTGAGCATCAGCTGATGGCAGAAAATCAGTCATTATCTTCAGGAGAACAGCTGAGCTGCATAATGATCTCTAAACACTGAGGTTTTATTCATAAAATCCACATGTTTATCTTGAGCGATTCTTTTTAGACAACTTTTGAAAGGGAGCCAGTCTGAAAAGATTAGGATTTTTCACAGAAACTGTCATATTGAGAGTTCCAGACCTTCCTTTCTTCAAGCTGCAGTCTTGAGAAATACTTTTTGTTACTTATTCAACGGTTAAAGGCCAGTCAGTAGCAGACATCTTACAAGAAAGATCTGTGAATGTAACCAAAAACTGTTCTGACAGGTTTCAGTAATTGCTTGTACACTGGTTGCGCTAATTATTTGGTGTGTCTTTGACATTGTAATAAGATCTGTGAAAACATTTGAGGAAAAACACAAATACCGTTGGGTTTTCTTACATGATTGATATGAGAACTCTTAATTTTTTTTTAGCTCTAGCTCACTTACTATGTTACCATTCACCTAAATAGGGAATAGCACTGGCTGTTCACTGTGGGGATCTGCTCAAGACCAGTCAGCCCTGTCGCTCAAGATGCAGAGTAACTTGTGGATAGTTGTTATGGAAATATAGGCAACATAGAGCCGGATGACAGAACGAAAGAGTAAAGATGATACCGGGGACCATACAATGCTTTATACTGACTGTTCACCTGACTGAATCTGCTAGCCGGACTGACCTGCGTGTTTAGTGTCAGTTGCAAATTTCTCAGCCCGTGTGGCGTCAACTGTGCCGCTAAGCTCAGGATTTAAGTGGCGACTTGTCTGTGGTGTTCCACTGAGCCATGTTGTTGTGTAAAAGCTTCCTGTGTTTCTTTGTACTCAACCACAGACTTATACTATATTGAACACACCATATTTAAGAAAAACACAGGCCTTACATTTTAATGCAGGCTTATGTCGCAATCCCTTAAATTAAGTGGAGCATAACCATCAAACCTAGCAGTTTTGTACTTTAGTTTCTAGTGTTGTTGTTTGGGATATTTTCTTAACAAAACGAGTGCGCTGGTTCATAAGGCTCTGTTGAAATGTGATTGAGCAAGACAGAAGAGTTGACAGTTGTCATCATGTTGTGCCAAAATTGATTACCCTCTTACGCCTTAATCCCAGCTTCATGGCACAGTTGAGATTAAATAATTTAAGCACTTTTTTTAATCATGCTGCCAACATATATATTGTTGTCCTGCTGATTTTTAGTGGTTCAGATGGGACCCGTAGCCCAGCCTCGCTGCAGACAGTGTTGATGAGAGTGAGTCAGCAAACTCTGCTTTCAGAACTTGATTGTAGGCTCAAAAAGGTGAAGGGGATCTGGGCGGTCAGGTAAAAAAACCCCACTATGTTCTGTGCCAGATATATCCGAGTCTGATTAACTGAGAATCTTTTGACCTGTCAGCAAATAATTTGTTGATGCCTTTGTCCAGTGGTGACGCAGGAGAAGTTTAACAGCATGTTGGATATAAAAACAAGCAACAGTCATATGAGCATATGAGATGCTCAATATGTACTACTATGCAAAAATCTAGAGGGCCATCTTCCGCTACTTTCCTGTGAGTCATTGAAATATAAAAGAGACCCAGACTTCAAGGCATCAACCAGTGTTGTATGTTTAGACACTTTGTTACCGACTGCCTGTTACAAAAACCAACAATTTGTTCCCGTTTCTTTTGTTAAAATGACAAAAATTACTAAATGAATTCCCAAACAGATGAATTCCCAAGCAGCTATTAACTATAAACTTGGCATATCTTGACAAGCCAAACACGCTGCCAATGCAGTAAAACACTATCTGGATAGAAAAACTCACAGTGGAACACTATCAGTCATGGATTGGGCTCCCCAGAGCCCGGACGTCAATATTATTGAAGATGTGCGGGATCGTGTGGCTAGAGAACAGAACAAAAGGCAGCCAACATCCAAAGAAGAGCTTTAAATGTCTTTCCGAAAGCCTGGAGATTTATTGAAATTTCTTCTTTTACTGGACTGTCTCTAGCTGTTTTACATGCAGACATGACATAACTGATTGGCTGCTGGCTGACCCAAAATTCATGGGATTGACTGAAAGTTGAATCCCTGCAAATTCCATCTGTTTTGTTTTTCTATTTTACTTACCAGACTAATTGCAGTCATCTGGTCTATCTCCAGTAATGCAGTCAGTACCAGAGACGGCGTAACACAAGGGAGAAAAAGACCACAAAAGTAGTAAACAAACAAAAGTAGTTGTGACCAAGTCTTTTCTAAAACCATAGAAATGAGTCTGCTGGATTATTTAATTTGACATCCTGACTGGTAATGGGCAGAAATATGTGAACCACATTTCAACTCCCAGACCCATGCAGCAGTTTGGGTCGTAACTTTTGGGCTTTTTTTCCTAACAAGTGAGCAAACTGAAGTTTGCCAGTGTCTTTTGTTGTACTAGACCTCATAGTAGAAACAATTCAGAGGTTTCTGCAGTTATGATTCTGGAAAAACATCTAAGTTCAAAGTAGTGTGACCTCAAAGGTTTGCCTCTGATACCAAACATGTATGCTAGCAGTTTTTTCACAGCATAACATCTGAGGATATTTTCTCCATCTTGTCTCCTCATTCAATTTTTGACAGATCTTTTTTTTTCCATTGTAAAGTGAATAAATGAACAAAAAAAGCGGAGCCCCTGAGATGACTGCTGTTATTTTTATCCTCCTAAAAGAGACGCATTGTCCTCGGATGCATTGGTGCAGAGCGGTTTATAGTGATTGAATTCTTAATACGGGGGGATGCTTTTGCATTATTTTCCTAAATTTTCCTTAGTCGCATAGCAACAAATAGTACAGCCACATATATTGCACCTAATACAATACCTTGAACAGATTGTACAGTTAAATAGGGGCGTTAGAATGAAGAAATGGAGGTATCATATTCAGTTCAAGGTGCGTGGAGAAAGGAAAAAGTATGTAAGAGTTTTATTGTAAACTACATAAATAATCATAACAGTGAAAAATGATTCCACAGTTTTTATATTTTGATGAACTTGTACATGCATGTTGAAGCGCTTACAAAGTCAAGTACATACAGTATATCTGTAAAACCCCAGTAAAACAGGTTAGCTTAATGCCAACAACATACTTTTTTGTACTGTTTAACAAGAAGATTGATTGAAAAGTGTTCGTCCAACTGTAGGATAAACACGAGAGACTGATGCTAAGAACAAGCCATCGGGGCGACTTGAAACTCAAATGAGTTGATATTCACTGTGTTTTCTTCATTTGTTTAATAGATTGTCGTCTATGGCTTTTGGATGACTTTGCCTGGGTGATCAGTGTACCAGTAAATCTGATATCTGCTCTGTTACACTGCCAGAACAATGACTTGCTCTGAAAATGAGCCTCAATGTTTAGAGATCTGCTTTAGGCAAAGCAACAAAAGGCTCTCTCCCCTTCTTTTCCTCCATCTTTGTTTGACTTTGTCTGTCTTCCCTTCCCGTCGCCCACCCCTTATTATTCCCTTCGTCACACTGTCGTGCATTTTGTTTATCTTGTCCTTCTCTGCCTTCTGTGTCTCTGTCATCTGCAGGTTCCAGCAGTAGCTGTTCTCTGCTTCACCAACTGGGACTCCATGGCTGGCAGTGGTGCTGCTTGATTCATTGCACTGTGAGTTTGCTTCTGGTTTGTCTGAGAATGAGTGTGTTGGTCTGTTTGTCTCTCTGTGTTTTTCTCATGCACTTTTCTTGGTTGTTAGGTGAGCCCATACAGAATAATACACTTTAACTCATCAAAAACCAAAGTCTCGACTTGTCCTTTGTAGTGTGTGCCTCTCCAGTGTTTTATTTGCGGTTCTGTTTTGTCACTTCTTCAAGTCGATACCCAAAGAGTCTGATTTCTCCCCACGGATTGAAGTCTTTCTGTGATTCGTCTCTTATTTTTCTTTCACCGTTTTGCTATTTCTGTTCCCTGTGCTGCATTTGTACTGAAATACTGTCTCTCTTCAAAGCAGAAACTGTATACACGCTGCCACTGTTCACCACTTGATGACTTACTGGTTGTCATATTACAGCTCCTAGCATTGCAGTTTGCCTATTAGTGCAATACTCTATCCATATTATGGCATGTAAGATATCTATAACAGCTACTGTAGCACTTTTTCCTTTCATAACTGGCTTTGTGAAAACTGACCTGAATAACTGAAGTAGCAGCCAATGCGCGCAGTGGAATATTAGATTATTGGAATCATGTATAGGAAGTGAAGGCATATAGATCGTCTCGGGGCATACTTGAAGATGCAAATACTCTGCTTTAATAACTCATGTATGCTGTTTTTCCCCCCTGTGGTAAATTAAATCTCCTAGTAAAAAGTACTTAAAATATAGCCATCACCTCCTCCGCCTATATAAATTCAGAAGCCATGAATGCAGCAGTATTTTTTTTATCTTTGGCTTTAGTGCTAGACACACTTTTTCAATTAGTCTGGTGTTGGATGGGAGATGAGCTTACTTTTTCCTTTCAGTACCACTCGTTTTTGCATTCATGCATCCGATTACCTTTTAAATGGAGGAACATTGTGATAGTTTTGAATTGATTTGATAGTAAATTGATTGTATTTAATGTGTATATTGTTTAGGATGAGTTTGATACTTGCAGTAAAAATTAAATAGTGATTATCCGACAGCTCTGTGACATTATGTTTTGCACATATGTTTTGAAAAAGAACAATGAAAACTAGATTTCCTACAAAGTAAACATTAGATTTTATAGGGGTTATATATGTTAAATGTTAATTCCTGATTTACCCTCTCTTTCATTCATTCATTTGGTCTCAACATATTTTTCACAGCTGTACCTTTGCAAACACATGGGTATGTATTTCTTGTGCTTGGCACTAGAGCTCATCCGATAGATCTGCCGATTTTAGCTATTTGCTGACAAATGCCAGTACAGCTGATGAATGAACACCTAAAAAGAAAAATTAGGAGCTCATGTTGCTACTGTTGATGTTGTGTATTTTGCCCACCAGAGAGAACTTCCCTGCAACATGTGTTTGGAAAGCCATAAACATGACAACCAGGTGATCCGAACAGAGTCAGAGTAGCTGAGTAATCTATGACTTGTGGCAATAAAAATATTATCTTATTAAGGTCTCATAAAAATCTATTCATAACAACTGTTACGTGAGCTTAAAGATGGTAAAACACACAGAGTCTTTTGACCAACTGCAAATATCAAAAGGACGGGACTGATCAGGGAAATGCTGAAATTCAGAAACAGTGTTTTTCTTAGTAATCCATGCTGATCCAATTTTTTCTGCTAGTTAAAAGCCTTTTGTTGATGACTAACTTACCTTTGCTAACACTGTCATGCACTTATTACCTCACTAATGATCTCTGTTTCCATATGTCTCAGTGCCAGCTGGATAAAAAGCAGCCATCTGTGCTGCTGTGTCTCAGCAGGTTTAGGTCCTGGTCTGTTTGCATGTGCCTCCATCTCCACAGCCCCCACCACAGATGTTACTGTTTGTGTGGATAATGACAATAGATACTTCATGTGCTGTACTTAACCTTTCACAAAGAACCACTAGTCCTATCTCCTCTGCAACACTTGCTTTTATTTGGTGCATTGTGCTGAGACCTTAAGGCTACATGCGCACTGTGTTGGGTCACTTTTCTTGAAACGAGGCATGGGCTTGAAGCCAAGTAAAATAACAAATATCCTCCCCATATTTTAGCAGGAAAAAGAAATCACAGTAAAAAAAAAATTCTCATAATTTTTGCTGTTGACCTTAATTCCTAAATCTGCTTAGAAAAAGTGAATCATGTGGCAAATGCAAAAATTCCAGTATTGCTGCTGAAATGACACTTTTTCCAAATCTCAGCTATGCCAAGGGGGAAAAGATACTGACTGGCTTTTGTTAATGAGACCCGTCAGGCTTAATTTCACACACTGCACCAATTCAAACTATCCGTGGCTGGTCGGAGGAAGCAAGGGGGAGGAAATGCTTGTTCAGGCGAAGGCAAAGGTGTTGTACAAAGCAAACACAGACTGTCTCTTTCAAAACTTTCCACTCATAGGGATCTTCTTGTCTTTTTCCTGTGTGCATTTTACCTGGACAAGTTAGTGGCGCAGGATGGCATTAGCCCTCTCTTGATGCCTCCGCCTTCTCCAGCATCCATTAGTTTCTGCTGCTGTTAGTTTGTTTTGCACTTGGCAGTTGAGAGCTGGGATGGTGTTATGTTCAGTTTAATTGGATGATGTGGTATTCTCTTCCAAGCTCTAGATGCCAACATCATTTCTTGGCCCGTGCCTTATCACCATCCTCAAAGCTACAGAAAGAGATTATTGCTCACATTGCAAAAACCGAAGGTCTCTGTCCCCCAAAAGCTAGAAAATGTTGAAAATGATAAAATTGATCAGAGATATAGTTTCTCTTTTCTTTCTCTAACTTTTACTTTCCTGATTTTTTTTTCTTTTAATTTATTTATTTTCTGCACCAATATCTGTCACCTCAAAAATACTCCTGGATTTCACACAACACATGAAAACAGCTGTGAGTGCTTTCTAAACTGAAGCCAGATTTTTGGATTAGCATAGCCGTTCTCCAGAGGACACAGTTAGCAGGCAGAGAAACAGACAAAAGCATGGTTAAATCATTAGTGAAATAAGCTTGGCCCCCATTACCATCAGCCTAACACAGTCCAAAACCACCATGGGAAGAGAGAGGGAGAATTTCTTCACTCAAAGAAACAGTTTCTTTTTATTGATGGTAATTGGGAGCTGTTATCAAATCTGTCCCCCACTTCTCATTTCTCCCAGAGTTGAGCGCTGTAGAAGAAACAGGCGATTGTTCTTTGAAGAAAGTAGGACACATTTTTTCCAGGAGCTTCAGTTCTGTCTTGAGGCTGTTTCTGTCTCTTGGAGCTTCCTATATATTCAGCCTATACATGGAAATGCTTGTCCTCCAGAAAGACTAAAGCCTGGATAGGCAAGTTGTGCAAGAGTAACCATTTTTAATGTAATGTATATATACTTTATGTAAGCTTTTTTATATCTTCCTCCTTCTTTGTTAGTATTTTGCTGTATATACATTATTTGTCTTACACAATTGTATCACCAGAATATTTAGTAGTTATTATTAATTACTGTTTCTTTTAATGGGGATGCCACAGAAAGAGTTTAACAGATGTATTGTGTATAACATCTAGCTGCTTTTGAAAGCAGTTGAAAAGGACATACAGTACCCTCTAGAAGCTTTGATGGCATCCCTCATTTCTTTACATTTCTCTGCCAATGATTCAGTCGTTTTTATAATTTTTTGAAAGTGGTCTTGAGCAATAGCACCTGACTGTTCAGTGTTTTGTCTACACATAACAGGCAACTTCACAAAGAACCAGTTTGTATCCTTTGTTACTACCAGCCTGTCACTAAAATAGATTAATTCCCATTCCTGCTGTTTAATCTATGAAAAATGTCAGAGAACATAGTTTGACAGGTATAACACAGCATTTTTATGCCAACAAGGTGCCAAAGATTTACTGAAACTATCGAAAACTTGGTATATCTCGGCATACTGTGCAGTGTTTTGTTTTTTTTAAACTTAGGAAACTGGACAAGTGGACAGTAGAAGAAGTGCCAGGCCTAAAAAAGCCAGCTGCTGTTCAATGCAGCCTCAGAAGTGGCTGTTGAAATGAAAGCTTTACTGACCTGGTTTCGAAGTTTCTTACTAGTTTTAGAATTTTGTAGCAGAGTAATAGGACAGGAGGGAAGAGGCTGCATGACTTGGCTTTGAATCCTCAAGGTTTTTGCAGCACCAAGGTAATCCAGTGATAGTTGCTATGTAGCAGTGGTAACATCTGATGATAGCTATTTCGGCAGATTCTTATATGGGTTAAAATAGCACTGAATTTACTTCCACAGTGTAACTTGGTTTAACACTGTAAATTGAACCTGTCAATCACAGAACTTGCAGTGTCACTGCTTTGAAAGCCACCAATCACATTAAGCCCTTCTTCCTTTGGACTCTGCCCTCCAAGCTACCAAAAGTCAGATTGAGTCGAGCAAGCAGAATTCATCTTTGAGATTAGAGCCGCCTGCGTGAGCGTGAATCTGCCACAGCACCCCCTCGAATGTGTGATGCGTCTTTGTGCTGAGCTGTGTTGAGTTGTACGCGTGCAGATTGTTGAATTTGAATACCTGCAGCTGTGAAATGAATTGCTCATTATTGTGTTTTGTCTTCTGCGCCTATTTCGACACAAATAAGACTCCATAGTTGTGCTACTGCAAATGAGTTCACCTGCTAGCCAGGGAGGGGCTGTGTGGCTGCCTGTCTGCCTCTCACTACTCGCCTTGCCACAAAATGCTGCAACTATTGAAGGCACTTTTAGCAAGCATGTGTAAGTGTGATGTTACAGTCTTGAAGCCAAAAGAATTTGCTGTGATCCCAACAGATTGCTGTTCACCCCCCCCCCCCCCCCCCCCCCCCCCCCCCACTAGCACCCGAGGGATATCCAGCTCTCAGCACGATACTACCCTCACTGCTTCCTGGTGCCAACAAGCCTCTGTTTCACACGGTGGAGGTAGTGGAAGCAGGCGGAGCATTTTAGTCAGAGGGGGAAAGAAAGCCTTCATGAGCTCTCCACAGTTATCACCAGCCTGCCCCTGGC